TCCACATCCACAGTGGCTGCCCTGGGAATGATGCCACTCTGCCTTTATATCTACACCTTGTCCTGGAATCTTGAGCAGAATCTCACCCTTCCATATCAGAATATAGGTTTGTATGTTTATGAAATGGAATAATAATAGTAATGGTAAGAATAATAGCTATTGTTTGCTTTCTGTCTCTTTTATGCAGGTTTTTATATATCTAATTTAATTCTTTAAATAACCTTGTAGTATAAATGCTATTACTAGTTCCATTTCCTAGATTTTCATGATTAGAGAGGCTATGTAACTTGACCAGCTCATAAGGGTGGAACTGGAATTCTGACTCAGGAATCTGACTGCAGAGTCCAAGCTCTTAACCCCTACAAGAGTTCACTTTTGAAAATAAAGCCAGAAAGCTTACTTACTAAAAAAAACTTTATAGCTCTTTGCCACATCTACTGTGAGGATGAAGACCCTTCTCAGCAATCAGACTGTCGACATTCCAGAAAATGTGGACATCACTCTGCAGGATGCACGTTATTGTGAAGGGCCCCAGAGGCACCCCGCAGAAGTCACATCAGCATAGAATTCAGTCTCCTTGGAAAGAAAAGGAAGAGGATTCAGGTTGACAAATGGTGGGAAAATAGGAACAGCTACTGTTCACACTATCTGTAGTCATGCAGCAAACATGATCTCGGTGTTACACAGCTTCTGTTACAAGATGAGGTCTGTGTATGCTTACTTCCCCATCAGCGTCGTTATCTGTAGTTGTAGAGGGTGACCCCATACATAGGAGAGTGGCTCTCTTGTTGAAATCCAAAATTTATTGGGTGAAAAATACATCCTCAGGGTTCAGATGAGGTCAGATGTTGCCTGTTCAGTATCTCAGGCCACATGTGATTTAATTCTTGAAGGAAATGACATTGAACTTGTATCAAATTCAGCTATTTTGATTTAACAAGCCACAACAATTAAAAACAAAGATATCAGAAAATTTTTGGAAAGTATCTATGTTTTTGAAAAAGGAACGGTTCAGGCTGATGAATAAGGTCAATATTGTCCAGCTACAGAAACATTAAAATGTCAGATGATCCCTCAGACTTATTAAAAGTTGTGTATTGACTTGGAAAAAATACTATATAATTCACTATAAAGCAAATGGACTTGTTATGACCAGAAGAGTAACTGAATTACAGTGGCTCTAATGAGAACTTAGTTTCCACAGTTCCAACTTCTCTATTGCCTGTGAACCTTGACTTCTTTGCTGATCAACATAAATGATTTCTATGGATTATTAAAGTGTATCCACATGCCACAACTCTACCATATCTTTCATTATCTCCTTTTCTGAATATTATTTCTCATTAAAGTGCCCTTTTTCTAGAGATCTCTGTGGACTTACTAGGCTTAGAAGAAAAGCTTGGTGGGGTGATCTGCCTGTTCTAGTTTGGTCAGAGTCCTTGGAGAACTGGTAGAAACTGATTCTTAAATTCTAAAGTGTCAATCTGGAGTCTCAAGTAAGCAGTTGGAGGACGGTTTACAACCATAGTTCTTGTAGTTCAAAATCATGACTAGAGCGATCTCCTGATAACAGCTGGAGACTATTGAATTTGTAAAATATGAGTGAAGTCTTAATTTAGAAACCACGATTTTATGTGCAACCTTTTCTGATCAGTAAGTTACTTAATATATTCTATTTTGATAGTATATTCTAAAAGGTACTTGTAAACAATTAAAACCCAAAATATCATGAGCAAGTCATATACCTTTGGAGCCAGTATTGCAGGCATTTGGCCAGGCTTGGAAAGTGGCACTGGAAAATGTCAATGTATGGATCCTGTTTGCAAGTAGATTTCTGCTCTATTCAGTCTGCTTTCAATGTCTTTGTTCACTCGTGTTAATTAAAAGGCATTTTTTTTTTCCTACCTGCCTTCGGATTACCTAGCTACACTTGCAGAATATGAGAAGTTGCTTTGGCATGTGTAATAAATGCCATTTTAATGTCTGAAACAGGTATTCTTACTTTGTGAAGTAAATGACCCATTGGCTTCAAATAGGGAATAATAGCTGTAGTTGGAGAGGGTGACCCCATACATAGAACCAAAGAATATCACAGACTGAAAAGGGTCTTCCTATTTTCTAACCTTTACATTTCCAGTTGTCTCTAAAATTCCATGTGGTTGTCAGAGGGATTCTGAGAGAAATGATGGATCGGGTATGGTGGCATTTAGTAGTATCATTAACCCTTCAAAGACTGTGTTCCAAAGATTTAAGAAAAAATTTTTGAGGTGCATGAAGAAACAAAACAACTTTAACTAAAGCTTTTATCTATTTGAAATAGAAATTGTTGAGGACTGGGCAGTTAGGGTGAGAGGGGATACCATGTCTGACAGATTTTTCTTCTCTTCAGGAATTTCCCTTTTGTGCCTGACCATTCCTGTGATGTTTGGTGTCTATGTGAATTATAGGTGCCCAAAACAATCCAAAATCATTCTCAAGGTAAGCAACTCCACAGGGCTGTTTGCACATTCTCAGATTCAGAGACTTGACAGGCAGATGTAGGTCATGACTGGAATAAATGGGCCAGTCAAATCTAGGCCCACACCCAGCAGTTTTCCTTATGTGTACTGCATTTTTGGATCCAACCTCCATATTTCCTCTGCTCTCTAAGCCTTTTCCTGTCATTTCCATAGGCCCATAAACCAAGGCTTATGACACTCTGGAAAGTGTGGAGCTCTTGCTGTAGTGACAGAAAAGCTAAGGCCTGTGTGGTCAGAGAGAACTCAGGGCCCATCATTCCCAAGGCCTCACACAGGCGCTCTTTAAGGTGAAAGCTTTCAAGTGTGCTTGAAATGGAACCAGGAGTATGGCCAGCTTCGTGGAAAATAAGGATGAAGGGCTGTCTTTCCGAAGCATTCCTGGGGGAGCTTCTAAAGTTGTAGTTGGCATGTTGCATGAACAGCTGTCACAATGAAACTATCTAGAACACACTGAGGAGTCTGGCCATGAAATAATGGGAACTGCAACCTCCTACCTCCTCTTGACTTTACAGGCTTGTCTTTTGTCTGTCGGAGAAACATGCACATGGCTTTTAAAAATTTCTAGCCAGAGAAGCATTCTCAACAATGGTGTCAATTTTATAGGATGCTTTTCAATTTTCCAATTATGTATTGTTTTAGAAGATATAAGATTGTATTATGTGCTTTAATATTTTAAAAATGTTTTAGTTATAATTTACATTTACAAAGAAATCAACATTTAGGGCCAATCGGAGGTTCAGCAAATACATCTTTGTTCATTTTAGTTTGGTGTTTATGGTTTGGTTCAGTTTAAGCTCTTGCGTTTGGCTCTACCTGAAAAACACGGCCACTCCATTTGCCTGTATAAATAGTTGCTGCTTTCCCAGTTTGGTACAAGACTGAACAACTCCCACTATTCCTCCAGTGAAATGAGAAACGTGAGAAGGGCGGTTGACAAGCTGACAAATCAGTTGGGCACAGAGACCCGGAGGAAGGCGTCCATGTTGTGCATTTGGATTGCATCTGAGTGACTTTGTTATTTCAGTAGGAGAAAATTTCCAGTATGGTTATAATTTTGTTTATAAAACAAGAGAAGAAAGTATAATCATGGGAACCTCTTACTTTTCAAGTACTCTCTCTCTGATTACTTTCTTAAAAGGGCATCTAACAAAAAAAAATGATTATGATGTTTCCAGATCCTGTATTAGTCTATCAATGTCAATGGAGAAATCAGATAAATCAGTTTTATTATCTGTAAAGAGCAGATTTAAAACCCCTTTCATTTGGCTGTTCCACAGGACTTGGGGCAGAAAATATTTAATAATATGCATAAACATTCTAGAGAATCTTATTGAAAAACTAGGATAATTTAATCATTATTTTAGTATTTTTTTTCCTAGTCCTTTTTTAAATTTTGATCTGATTCATTTTCTGAATAAATTGCTCTTGGTGAATTTTAAAATTTTAAATCCATTTTTTGGTAGAAAGATGTAGAGGGATTTTTTAATAATCAGAGGCCTTCTTTGTGTGTTCCAGCATCTTCCTGTGAGGCAGGGGCCCAGTCTGTCCCTGTATTTGGGCAGTAAAAATGATTCCCAGAACACTTCTGTGGTTCATAAGTTGTTTTTGTTTTGTGCTGGTTCCCCATGACTACCTTCTCCACACCCTGAATCATTTCAAATCAAAGTTGACACTTTGCTGTTGCATAGTTTGCTGTCTATGTGGTGTAAATGAGAGCTTGCCAGGATCCTGATTTTCCCCAAATATTCTGGGTGTTGCTTCTTTCCCCTCTGATCTAAAACTCAAACCACTGGAAATTCTTTTGTTGATTTTTTTAGTTCTGTTAAACAACAAAAGAGAACAGTATTCATTTAGGAGAGGTTAGTGGTATCTGTCAGTACCTCTCACATTACATTAATATTAGCTCAGAGTGTCTAACGAAAAATGAACAAATTTCATTTGGAAGAGAGACAGGCAGGGATCAAAGCAGTAAGGAGCCATTGGTGGTTGAAGAGGTGGTGGGAAGAAACTGGCGGATGGTCAGGCAGGGCAGATCTCTGAAAAGAGGTTACCAGCAAGGTGTCTAAAAGGTATGTGTAGGGGTGTTGGATGCTTATTGTTGGATTTCACTTATTTCGTAAATTTGTCCTATCCATAAAAATTTCTGCCACCCAATCATTCTGGCCAAATCCTCTCTACTTGAAGGGAAAAGGTACTGATCATAAAATAAGCAGACTTGGAATTATGTTGAGCTTTTACCAATTTCTCTAGCTTAGCCCAAGGAAGTCCCTTGACCACTTTGGACCTCAGGTTTATTTTCTGTAAAATGAAATTGGATTTGGTAGTCTCTAAGTCATTTCTCTGTTCTAAAACTTCTAGGTTCCAAGCTTTTTAGAGTGGTGATGGACTTTGGATCAAAAGACCATGATGTTTATCTGTACTTATTTTGTTGGTTTGCTTTAGATTGGGGCCATTGTTGGTGGGGTCCTCCTTATGGGAGTTGCAGTTGCTGGTATGGTGCTGGCGAAAGAATCTTGGAATCCAGACATCACGCTACTGACCATCAGTTTCATCTTTCCTTTGATTGGCCATGTCATGGGCTTTCTGCTGGCACTTCTTACCCACCAATCTTGGCAGAGGTACAGTTAAATTATCCATAAATTTTTGTTTTTTTGAGAAGGATAAATTAAACACACTACCATTGGCAGGCTTTGCTGCTTGGCTGTGTCTGGAAACACAAAAAATTTTGACTTAACAAGGTAGATGGAATGGGACAGCTCATCGTAAAGATGGTGAAAAGATCATAGTAATTCTTTATGTAAATGAAAGTGACAGCCCAATTGATGAGAATTTGTAATCCATGAAATTAGGATTGGAGTATTAATAAAACTTATAAATTGGATACCTTTCTCTTCATATTCTAGTCATTAAGATAGGAAGGGTGAGATGGTTTCACTAGATATAGAGATCATTCTAGGACATGAGCAAGATTCAAAGGATTAAGCATTTATCTGTTGTGTGTGCCAAATTTTTGAAAAGTGCTAATTGTAAAGGGCAAGCAGAAAAAGGACAAACGAGAACTAAGATAGAAATTTATCTTAAATATTAGAAGTATGTAATATTAAATGTAATAAGTTGAGTCATATAATTTATAAATGCTGTGAAATATTAAAAATGATACTATTTCATGTTCTATGCCTGTAGATGAGGGGAATATTATCATACACTGTTGAGGGGAACATAAATTGGCATCAGCTCTCCAGAAGGCAATTTAGTCATATCAATGGCCTTATAAATATTTATAGCTATTAACTCAGTGATTTTACTTCTAGAACTCTGTCCTGAAGCTAGCACTATCAGATAAGTACATGAATATTGATGTGCAAGGATGTTAACTGCAGTGTTATTTATAAGTATAAACAAACAATTTAAATATCTAACAATAGGGAGATATTTAATTCATGATGTGATGGAAAATGATGTATCAGTTTTAATGCTTTTTTAATATACTTAAAAGATAAAAATGAGTGGAAAACGATATGCGTTTTGATTCCCATATTGTAGAAGAAAGCAAAAGAATTTTATGCATTGAAAAATACTGGAAGAGATACACCATATGCTAATAGTGTTTGTTTTGAGTAGAGGGATTAAGAATAATTTTGATTGCTTAATATTTCCTTGGCATATTTTTTAGGTACTACTTTTAAAATCAGAAAATAATTATTGAAGAAAAGTAAGCTATGCAGTTGAATTCCAGAGGTGGAGTTTGGGAAATTTTTAATTGGATTCATGCTGTTTCCAGTTGACTTGGAGAACATTTAGGATTATACGAAGTACTGGGTGAGGCTCTGTCAGGTGTCTCTCATTTGCTTCTTACTACAAGCCTGAGAGGTAGATACTATCATATCTCATTCTGTAGGTGAACAAATCCTTCAGAGAAGTTAAGTAACTTGACCAGGTTCATAGAGCCAGAATGTGGTAGAGTCAGGATTTGTCTCCAAAGTCAGTAATTGGGAACATAAACTCTTGAGTGGTTGAAATATAATTGGATCTGGAGAGACAGTGTTCCTATAGCAAATTGTAGTCAACAGTCTCATTTTTTTCACACACCTGACGGCTTGAGAAAGATCAGGACTGAGATACTGCATTCACCTCCTGAATGGTCTAGGTGTGAGGTCCAGTTTGTAGCTTAATCATATCAAGCTATTTATTTACTTATTTTAATCAGATCAAGTTATTGATAGGGGTCTGAAAGAAGTGAGGGTAGTTTGAAGAAGCATAGCAAGCAGTAGGGTAACTAGAAATAAAATAAAGGGCCACAGAACTTGTCCTGTATCAGTGACAATGTCTTCACTCCCACATCACACACTCTTGTTACTTCCGCATTCCAGTCCAGCTTGCATAGAGATGCTGATCTATCTTCTGAAACACCTCTTTTCTCTCTTCACTTCCATCTATAAAAACCTGAAGACTCCCTTAAAAAACTGGAGACAGATGAGACGGCTTAGCCCAGCCCCCAAGGTCCTGCCTGTGTCCTCCTTTTCCTCCCTTCTGCTTTTTCTTTTTTCAAGTGAGTGTTTTTTTTTTTTTTAAATAAAATAGAAGACCAATAAAATGTAGAAAAGTGAAAATAGAAAAAAACATTACTACACCCTTTCACCAAAGAAACCATTTTAAACATTTGGTTTTCATCGAAGTTTTTTGTGTTTACTTTCAAAAGTTGTTTAGTTTATACCGTTTCAGATCTCTCACTCAACTTTCCATTCTCATTTCCTCCAATCTTTGCTCCACGCACCTTGGCTTACTGCATGTGCAATGCCTCCGAGTAGACCAAGCTCATACCTGTCCCTGGAACTCTAATTTCAATCATTGTCCCATGTTAAATGCCCCTTTCCTTCTTTCCATCCTTTAATCCTGCTGTTCCTCTGTGAAGCCTTTTCTAACCATTGATGCCACTTTTCTGAATTTCTAGAGCATCTCCCTGACCCTCCATCATACTTTGTCTGGTGTTGTTACTGAACCTTTCCTGTGTATGTATCTTGACTTTCATTGAGATTCCTAGGTCAGCGTTCATAGGGCCCTATCCCCAAGTGCCTGTCAGGAGACCACCTGCAGGATAGGCACTCAGCAAATCATTATTGAATGAGTAAATATTTTTAGTGGCCTAAGCTTTTGTAGCTTACATTTATTGCTATATGTAAGAGAACATTTAAGAATCGTCCTTGTTGCTAGTATGTAACTCTTGAAAAATTTTTTCATTGGTAGGTGCAGGACAATTTCCTTAGAAACTGGAGCTCAGAACATTCAGATGTGCATCACCATGCTACAGTTATCTTTCACTGCCAAGCAGTTGGTCCAGATACTCAGCTTCCCATTGTCCTATGGACTCTTCCAGATGTTGGATGGAGTTCTCATTGTTGTAGGTGAGTAGAGCACCCCCCACCATTGAGTAGAGTTGTTCAAAAATTGTTGACCCAGCTTACCAATGCCTTTTTCAGTCTGAGCTTGAATGTGTTGCTCTTGTGATATATTTTTAGCCAGACAATTTTAGGGAAAATAAAGTGCATAAACAAGATTCTTTGCCACAATGGATGCTTTACATGAAAATATTTTTAAAAATGATATAAAAATGAGCTTATAATTATAAACAAGTATGCTTTACAAAATACAATGCGCTATCAGAAATTAGATTTCTGGACTTGATAAGTTTCCATGAGCAATCATTTATGTGAAAATGACATTTGTGATGTTTTATCAAGAGCCAGATGTAAAATTATTTCACAGTGCTTCTGTGACTAAGAATTGTGCTGAATGGCTGTGATATGTTTTTCAATTATGAAATATAATACATACACAAATATTGAAATTATACATATACATGCTTACCTATCCATATAGCCAAATATACATTATTTCAAAGTCAAGCATTATGTAAGTTTATAGAAAGTAAATTAAAAAAAATATACATGGATAGATATGTACACACACATATATTTTGATCTTGGGCCATTGTAAATTTTTGTTGTCAGGGAACAGGTTCTAAGGCTCAGTGATTACTGACTTACTGATTATATAACAATCAGTAAGTTATATCAGTTACTGATATAACAATATAAGGAATACTCGGAGTTTAATTTTTCCACATGATAAGAGAAATCCTAGCAGAATAAAACTCCTAGTCTTAGACTCAAGTTTTAATTTCTTTTCATGGTGAGACCATAAGGGAAGGAACATGTCTAGTTAATTCCCATCGATCTTCTAGCGTCCAGGAGAGCGCTTGACTCATAGGAGGCATACTACAGGAGTTTCTGACTGACTGAATAAATGAATGATTGGATGAATGAATGATAACATGAATGAATGGATGAGCCATCAGTGACCTGATGACTGTCTCAATCACAAATGGTTCATTCTGGACAGACATAGCCATTATGATTCACTGCGTTATTTTGTTTTGTAGTTTCCTCTCATTTTCCTTCCCCACCTTCCCTATGTGTTTGTACATGTATGACCCAAAGTAATCAAGCTCTCAAAGTATTGACATGTATACAAGATCACCAAATTATAGTCTTTGCTAAAGTGATTTTTCAAATACCTGTATGTTTTAACACCTAGCGTATAAGATGTACAAGAGGATACTGAAGAATAAACACAGAAAGAAACCAGGTTGTGCAGAAGGCTGCCATAACAAGAAATCTGCCTCTCCCAAGGAGACCAGTGCTTTCTTGGAGGTGAATGAAGGAGTCGTCGTAACTCCTGGGCCGTCAGAGCCGAAGGACCGCCACACGGCTCTTGAGCTGATTGGCCATATCTCTTCCTGTGACTAGTAGGGGTTTGCTGGCCTGCCTGGTCACCGGCTTCCTCAGCGGCCAGTAAAGACAGTGCAGAGCTGATGCGTGGATCTCATTGGCAGGGCCTGTGGGAATATTTGAATATTTGTACTTTTGTGTGGATTATGAATTGTCATAGGATGCCTTTTTGAGAATGTATTCTGCCTATTTCAGGGAGTTCTTTTGGGGTTCACACAACATATTTACTAGCTGCTTTGTTCTTGTCTTCTTGTGCAGTGAAGGGTAATATTCATTCTTATGTAAATTCGTCTTCACAGTGTGGATTTTAATCTCACTAGAGTTTGGATTCTGTTTAGAGGATATGTCATCTCATACTGCAGAGTAAGGACACAGTCTAGACCCATTTGACTTTGGGCAAGTCCCTTGGAGCATTGGGGAGGAAGCATACACTTCATAAGAATAGTGCCTTTTCTCAAATGATTGTTATTTTTTTAAGGGCATGAAAATCTCTTTGCATTATAGATATAATACAAACTTAGAAGAAATTTAATGAACACTTGAGGTTGGGAGGTGAATGTCCCATATTTTTACTCCCTAGTGGTAGGCATATGTATATTGTTCTAACTTTTGTTAACACATTATATCATTTTAAAAACCTTGAGATTATTCCATATATACTATTTTGTAAGTCTCTTAATGATATATTATGGAGCATCTTTACATGTCAGTTTGTGTCGACCTACCTCTTTCTTTAGAACAGTGGCTTCGTGGAAGTCTTCTACTGCATGGAAGGACTAATTTATTTAACTATTCCTTTTTCATGGACATTTAGATAGCTTTCAACTTATTAGTATTACAATGCTGCTAAAACCACCTATGCCCTTCGGCAAGTATTTCTGTAGGATCATTTCCTATGGCTTGAGTTGCCAATTGCACATTAAAATGTTGGACAGATTGCTCTCTGGCAGTTTTATGTATAGCAGTGCCTGAGAGGTCTCGTTCCCACAGTTACACTACATAACGAATGAACAATTCTGAATTGTGAAAATTTCTCATGTAAAATTGCATTTTTAAAATTATAAGTGAAGTGTTTTCCCTGACTATTTGTCTATTCATGTCCTTTGCCCACTTTCCTATTTTCTTTTTTTATTGATAAATTTTAACATGTTATGGATAGTGACCCTTTGTTCTGTTTTGTCAAATTTTATCTTCTCTTTTATCTTTTGCTGTACAGAAGTTTTATATTTTTTACATATTCAGCTGTGTTAGTCTTTTAAAAAATGTTTTTGACCTTGATATCTGTCGAATGTTAGAATATTTGTATTTTTATGTGGATTGGGAATTGTGAAAGGATTCCTTTCGAGAATATATTTGGCCCCTTTTCAGGGAGCATATGCAACAACATATTTACTGGCTGCTATGTGTACTGCCTAGCAGTAGGTAAAACCCAGCCTCCTCCTCTATTCTTACGTTAAAAGTTTCTCATATGTTATGTACATGTTTATTTCAATTTGAATTTATTTTTCTCTGCAGTGTGTTAAGAATCTAATTTTTATGGTTAATTGTCCCAACAACACATATTGAAATAGTCATCTTTTCTCTACTGATTTGAAATGCCACTTTTATCATATAACTTCCTATATAATGTGTTTTTCTTGGGACTCTTATTTGGTTCCATTTTTTTCTATCTATTCTTATTTGTAAGTTTTGAAATGTGTGAGAAAAGGTGTATTGTCTGAGGTTTAGTGCTTTGCAGTTTTATTTTGTAAGTATTCCCAAGAACTCGTGGGTTAGTATAAATGACAGTGATTATTATGGTATTTTCACAACAATTAAGAATGCCTTTGTAGTAGTACAGAAAAAGCCCCGTTAGGTGTCACAAGTATATTTCTATGGAACGGAACTGTTTAGACTTGGGACATGATTGTTAATTCTCAAGGGCTGCTTGACTACTTGGAGATTTGCACTTATCTACCTGTAAATGTGTATGTATTGAGAAGTTAGTCTGTGCTATGTACAGGCACATGGTACATGCAGCAGCGACAAGGCAGGAAGGGTTCCTGCCCTCGTGGCTTATAGTCTAGTGGAGAATAGATCTCTGCAGTGAACACAGTAGAGTTGGGCATTAACAGGCAGTCCCAGGTCTAAAATGAGCATTGCCAAGAGTTTTAAAAAGAGTCCACAAAAAATGAATTTCTAAATTGTTTCTCTACATGAGAACCTAATATAAAATGGTAAAACCCAACACTCCTTTCTGAAAGAATTAACTACATGGCCAACGTGGCCAGTATTGAACAGTCAGGATAGTCTGGGGACAGGTCTACCAAAAGCTCTCTGTTAAGGCAGAAAAAACACAGATCAATGTAAGAGTTTGAAAGTGGTCACATCAGAACACTGCTTTCTCCAGAGATAGTTTGTAAATGCATTACTAAGAACTAGAAATAGTCAAGTAGTCTTAGTAATGCATAACAGTCAAAGAGGCCACATATTATTTTTAAGATGAAGAATTTAACTAAAAAAAACAGAACACTGCTTTCTCCAGAGATAGTTTGTAAATGCATTACTAAGAACTAGAAACAGTCAAGTAGTCTTAGTAATGCATAACAGTCAAGGAGGCCACACATTATTTTTAAGATGAAGAATTTAACTAAAAAAAAAAGCCCTAACTGAATAAATTGTATTCTAACTGATCTACATAATCATGAGTTTATTAAAGCCAAAGCTCAGAAGTGGAGCCAGCTGGGTCATTGGGGCATCATACTATAGTGGAAAGAACATGGGCGTTGCCAGGGCTACTTGCTGAATTCCACTTAAAGAGCTGGGAGGCCTCTGGAGTTGTGGGTTGAAGTCAGGCAGACCTGGAATTGAATCCAAGTCTGTTATTTGGGCAACCTTGGGAAAGTGATAGTGCCTCTGGGCTTTGTTTCTAAACTTGCAAAGCTGAAGACTACTTTCAGATCCTTCCTAGCTGTGTATCTTTTTTCAACAGTTACAAATTCATAGTTTTGGGGTCAGGAAGATCTTACAGGTAGGTTGACAGTGCTGGCTACTAAGGAATGGTGGAAACTGGCAGAATTGGAAAGGCACACACTGCTTGCTGCTACCCAATACCTATTGCTTCCTTTGTCCTTATTAATAGAACCAAGATTTTGTTCAGGACAGCAATGTGTCTAGTTAAAAATAACTTTCTTGAAGCTAGAGATGGCCGCGTGATACAGTTCTTGTTAATGAGGTAGAAATGGAAGTCTGCTTGTGATTCCTGGAAAATTTTGCTTTCTTGCCCTGGTAACTGACTAACCCTTTCTCCTATCGATTCCTCCTATTTTCTTTCTGGAATGTGGATGTAAGCTGGAGCTGCAGCAGCCATTTCCAGACCGTGAAGGGAAGGCCAGGATAATTACATACCTGTTGATATTCTTGACCTGTAGAATCAATCCCAGCCACTGCCTACTTCTAAAAATGTTTTCT